ACCCACACCCACACACCCACACCCACACCCACCCACACCCACACCCTGAAATCAACTTTTAATTCATTTTCGACGAGAGAAAAAAATGATTTTTCAAGGTGTATATACGAATGATTTCCTTTGTAAAATCATTCAAATTTTTGAATCAAATAATAATGATTTTTCTTTTTCTGTTTTAGATTGGCCTCGATGATACAAAACTAATCAAATAAAGATCAAGCCATACAATAAAAAAAAATGTAGGTATCAGTTTTAATTTTTTTTCTATTTTTTTTTTATTTAACGATTATAAGGATGGTGAAATAAGACCTCCTATAATCTTTTTAATTTATTTTTTTTTCTTTTGACTTAGGTTCGATGAATATTTTCAACTATGACAAGATAACAGCGGGGTAAGTTAACTCATTCTTTTTTTTCTTCATTATATAACATTAAATTAATTTTTTTTCTTTTTCTTTCTAGTTCTCAATATCATCGCGTCGTAATCAACATCGTTCAACATCAAAACAGGGTGAGTAATTTTTTTTTTCTTTTTTTTTTGAGGTGAGAATAGGGGAGAGGAGGATGAGGTTAGATAGTGTAATATTGAGATTGAAGAGAGGGATAAAGTGACTGAGAAAAGAGTGTTAGTAGGGGGAAGGGGTGAGTTATGTCCGTTGAGGTTAGGCTACCGTTATTTTTACAGGACTTCCGGGTAGTCCTTAAAAGTTCGGCCAGGAACTGTCTTGGTGTCCGCGGCACACGACCAGGCTTATTCAGACTCATTGACATATCTCTCGCGGGGAGGGTACGAATGATATGAGTCTGTCCTGTGCGTGCATGAGCGTTACGCTCGCCACGGCTCCACCAGGATAGTTCCTGGTCGCGCGCGCGAATAGAATAGACATTCATTTCATCAATGCAACGTGATTTATTTGAAACGAAAAGAAAGAAAAAAAAATAATCCATCGTTTTGAGTCTATTCAATTGAAAAGTGTTGAACACGATGATTGTTGAGATCGGCGACATAGAGATTGCCATGTCGATCGAAGGACAAACACGCGGGACGGTCGACCTGGTTAGCTCCTGCTCCTTGACCATTTCCACCCACAATGACAGTGCCTTGTTTCGCTCCTTTAGGCCAACGCATCACTCGATGATTCCCCGAGTCTGCCACATAGATGGTACCCAATGTATCGACGAACAGTCCATTAGGAAGCGACAATTGTGTCAGAGCATTCCCTTTGCCTTGACCTCCAGCGACGACAATTCCTTCTGTTGCACCTTTATTCCATTTCATTACACGATGATTGTTGTTGTCTGGCACGTAGACAGTCTGTTGTTGATCGACAAAGATGTAGGCCGGCTCATTGAGTTGATTGAGACCAGCACCTTTGCCATTGCCACCAGCCACAATAGTTCCATTCTTGTCTCCTATTTTATATTGTCTTACTTCATTTTTATCGGTGTCAGAGATGTAGAGATATCTCTGATCATCCATGACCAATCCCCAACACTTGATGTTGTCGATGAGGATTTCTCCTTGAGTTGCACCACTACGATGAGACCGTCGTACGACTCGTCGATTGCTTCGGTCACAAATAATGAGACTATCAGTCTCTTTGTTGATCAACACATCGGTTGGATACTGCAATTGATCCAATCGATTTCCGTAGCCATTGCCACCAGCTACAACTTGTCCATTCGTATCATCCATCTTCCATTGGATGATACGATGATTGCCGGAATCAGCAATGACCATCGTTTGATCATCATCAACGAAGAGACCATAAGGCCAGTAGAGTTGATTGGTGGCACTGCCGCTTCCATGACTTCCAGCAACGGTCACTCCATTCTGTTGCCATTGGGCATTGGCTGGAATATTGGGAATTACTACAATGAACGAAAAAGAAAAGGAATCCTCGTTGTCGAAGGAATTTCGTCTCTTGTGAGAGCGAGCGCTTCAAATATGACATTCGCCTTTGAGAATGCTCATTCCACAGATAAAAATTCAGAAGTCTTTTCCTAGTTTCCTATGAGAAAAAAGGATTTGGTAACAATTCTTACGTCTATGTCACTTTTAGTTTTTGCCAAGACCTTTTTGATTCTATAAACAACACCTTGAGATTGCTGTAAGGAGGTTCTTGAAGAAAGAGTAATGCTAATTCTATCTAAGCTTTTGATAGAAAAACATAGAGATCTGAGGGTTTTATTCGGCATCGCGAGAATGCAGAATCTTTTTGTAGGATGATCATTTACATGAACATCACACAAGAAGAACTACGTGAAACTCCTAAACTGGAAAAATCCTGAGAAGATTCTATTTGCATCTTGTTAGGAAGATGTCAAATTTAATCTCTGTCGTTGGAGAACTTTGAGGATGCTTTTCACATCATAGGACAATTCAGGCAGATCTATAGAATTTGATCTTATATATAAAGAAGAATGCTTATCTGTTTGTCTGTGCTTTATCCATTTCCACACCGTATGAGCGAATGCAATCAAACTTTCCAGGAATTCTCCTCTCATCCAGGAGAAGGTCAATACCTATTTTTTTTGCAAAAAGAATTGCTTCTTTACTCGCAAAAAGCATACTTATGTTGTTGACCAATCAGATTGCAGTATTCTGTACTATAGAAGTACTATTGACCAGCACTTCATGAACACACAGAAAAACATGGAATTACAGGTTTTCAAATCTTTTTGATTGGCCAGAAACCAATAGGAATCGAGTTTTTGAGAAAACGAATATCAAGGGTGGCCCATGTCATACACAAATCCAGCTTTTGGGGAAGTTGATTCCTGGAGATCGTGTGAGGTAGGGATTTCGAATAAATAGCCTATGACGTTGAAAATTTGTGCGTCATAGATATTGACTCCTTAGGTTGTTAAAGGATCTGTCCCACAAAAATCTTTCTGTCTGTCTTTCTTTGCAATCAATCGGAATTCAGTGTGATTTCAGTAGTACAAAATGCGACCTTCTAGATCAATTAGATGTGTCGTTGTGCTTAGTTTTGATCAAAACAAATTTTTCTTGCAACGCTGTCGGAGAATCGATTGTCCATGTGGGCTCCCCACTAGAAACATAACTATACAGCTCTGGAACCGGGAATATGATCAAGTGCGACCGGGATCGATCGAGATGGGTATATACTCTTATAAATGATTGGCCAAGATAAAAAGTCGATAGAACTCGTAAGTTTCATCAAGTTCTTCTTGATATAGACGTGGAAGGACGAAGAATCCTTCACTTCTGATCAATTTTTTAATGTCAGTATTTCATATCTGCCGACAGCGAGAGTAGCCGTGGCAGGGACTTAAAATACGTTCAAGAGCCATAACCAGGACCGGAACAAAAAATAGAGTTTTATGCGTGTCTACTCCCTACTGATTAGGTTTTCTGACATGTTCTTGAGCGCAATAGGAGTTTTACTTGCATAAATTAAGACTGAACTTTTCCGGGCAACGCCGGGTACTTCTGCTAGTGACTTATAATTTTGAAATGCTAAGAAGAGAAATACTAATCCAATCGACACTCTCCATAGGATAACATATGGATATGTAGATTTTATACGTAATTTAGAATGTGTGGATCTTAATTAGATAGTCAGAATTTGTTTTTGATAGATGCATAATTGAATTCTTTACAAACTTGTATTTATCTTCATTTAAAACAACATAGAAATACGAAAAAAAAACATTTTAACATGTAAATAAACGATTGGATTATTAAAATGTACTTTTTACAAACTTCAAGTTCTTGAAATCGAATAAAAAAATCTCATAAAAATGCGTTCTTTTTCAATTTTAATATCTCCATCATAAAATTTACATTCATATTTGCTTCTCTGATAGGAAAATTTTTCTTACCACTCATTGCAAAAAACAGTTAGCAAATCATATGACTGTCTCAACTTTGACATATAATCTATTCATTCTTCTCTTTCTGAGCAAAATCAGCACATGTAGAGAGAAATCCAACTTCGCATGCTTATTCATGTTGTGATAAAAATAGAATAATTTCAATAGCTCTAAGAAAAGTCGATTCTCAAATAAATCAGCAATAGATTCTTTTATGTGATAAGAATAAAAGAAAACAAAGCATCTTGAAAATTTTTATGATCACACAAGTATTAGGAACATGAGAAAGAAAAGCATACAACAATAACTATCCTACATCGCAAGTAGATCAAAATCGCATTTTGAACTATGAGAACAATAATATGTGAACGAAGTAAACAAATAGAAGAAGAAACAGGTATCAACTCGTACATGAGTAAAAAAAAAAGTAGTCGGACAGTTTTAAGAACATCCTATTCTGTATGATTGTTAGAAAATTGACTGGCTAGCCTGCTAAGAAATTACAGCGGTCTATAAATCATAATTTTCACATCAGGTGCGTTTGTATAAATATAAATAATTGAACTAAAAATACTGTGTCTAAATACGTTAAATTGTTTTGAAAAGAATGAGCAAAAACGAGTAGTTTTTGAACATATTAAAATTTGTTGAGAAAAATACGCATTTTTTAAAGGTCTTATCGGACTGGTTTGTTACTATCTTATAAAAATTGACTTATTACTCTGATATTGATCTGAAAGAGCGTATATCAAATTTAAAAAACTCAAAAGAATTTTAAATTTGATATAGGTTTTTATGTCAATAAAATTCAACTATAATAAGTCATTTGTTATAAGATGATAAGAAGATTGACATAACTCAAAATTCATCTAAAGTATATTTCCAGTAACGCAAATCTTAGGAATATACGCATTTCAAACATCGAACGTTTACTAACATGTAGAGATATATGATAAACATGATTCCACATCTAGGAAGTTCATCAAACTATTCCATGTTCTGTGACAGTAACATATATATATATATATATATATAAATTGTTGCAATGATTTCGAACCATTTTGAGTTTTTTAGTCTTTTCTGAACATATAAAGTTGAACAGATAATAGAAAATATATATATGACATATAAATTATCATCTAAAATCGATATACTCAATTGGCATTATTATTAAGAATGTACTTTATTAGAAAACATGTTAAAATAAAGAGTAATCGAACAGTTTTGACACTTCTATGAGTAAATGGATGATATCTATGACAAATTTATATATGGTTAATTGTTCGAAGTATGTATTTTTGTAGGTAAAGATTAGAAGTATCATTTGAAGAAAAGATACTTAAAAATGCATGCATGTAGTATAATATTATGATCATATTACTAGTTATTAATCTTAAAAGAATATGTTTGTCTTACATTTTTTGAAAAAAAAATAATAAAAACAAATATGTTTTTTTTCCTTACAGGGTTTTCTTAACGAGAGCTATCACTTTAATGAAGTAATACTCATCATATTTGTTGATTATGATTGCAGTTACCTAATTCGATTGAAAGCCAATTAAGTAAAGAAAACTGATCCGACATAGGAAACACCAACGTAATTCTAAGCTTATGTTGATAGGTACTTTTGTAAATTTCTCTCATTTTTTTTGTGAGACAAGGGAATGTTTAACGCTTTTTCTTCGTAAAATCTCTCGACTGCAATCTACAAAAATATTGGAGAAAATTAAAGTTTTTCTTATTATAGCAACAAAAAAAGTCACACTTAACAATTTCAATCATTATCGTTCAATATCAAAGTAAAATAAATAATATAGTCGATATCAATACAAAAGCTACATCAGAACATACACTAATGCCTTTAGTTCATCAGGGATGCATTTTTCATGAATACTTTTCTTTAAGCTGTAATATCTCTGATTTGACGTACTTTTTATATTGATGTCAAATATACTATTCAATTTGGTCTAACATATAGCTAGGATGAAAAAAAAATCGGCGAAATACACCAATTCATTTTTCAAAGTTTCCTATGATTTTATGATTGAAATCTAAAACAATCCATTTTCTCAATACTAAAAGAAAGTCAAAAAAAACAAGTGACATAGAGGCATTTCAAGTTCGATGTTCAATGTTTCTAATGAGAGACGAGACGTTGTTCCAACTCTTCACATAAAAGGGAAACATACATTTACAAAAATATCTATTCGCACAGCTTGTTTTCGTAAAAGTCAAAATACAACTCTTATTTTGAGTGGATGTTTATACCTATCCGCTAGTTAAACAATCTTTCTCTAAAATTTGTGACAGAATTATGTTGTCTGTCACCTGATTTATATAAATAGTATAGAATATATAATGTGTAGTCGGAATATAGGGTTTCATATAAGACAAATAAGTCAAAAAAGTTTCTTCAATTTCATTGAAATCAGAAATAAAATGAATGAAATAAGTCTTTTTCTTTTTACCATGTTCAACCATTTTAATTCATTTTCATTTCAATTATCAACAGAGGAGTCCAATAAAATTTTGTTTATGAGATAAAATATGATATTTGACTACGTTTGCGATAATGATAATATTTCATACGATTTCATGTACTTATAGTCTGGATTTGTTGAACAAACGACTGTACCTACACTCATATCTAATAGAGAGTGAACCAAAAATTAACCACTTTATCAGCATAAAAAATTAAAAGAAATTACATGAAAATGAAGAACTGAACATTTTCATGAATTAAATACCATAATTGTATTTTTGATTTAAAAGTCATGAACGTGATGAAATTTTGTTGATTATTGGATTCCATATTCAACCAGATCATAACTTTCTAGTAAACTTTGTCAAAAAGAT